TTAAAAGAGTGAGACTGGCTCTGAAGGATTAGACAAATCGAGGAGTAACTTCTGCAGTAGCACAGGATTTGTACAAGCATCCCTCTTTTGTTTATAGCAAGCAAAATCTTGTGTGAACCAGTGGGAATGAACACTCCTGCTGGAAACCTGCTCCAAAGTCCACAGCATCCTTCCTTAAATTAAATTTGAATCCGGATTTGGGCTGGGGCTTTCGGAGCTCCACCTTAGTGCTGCGCTGGTTGAGATGAAGCAAAGCAGAGCAGGCAAAATCCTTTTTAGAGAGACTGAGCCCCAACAGGGGCTAGATTGCAAATCGCTGGTACCTGCTGGTAGGGCCACTCGGCAGCATCCCTGGGACTGCAGGGACCGTGCTGCACCGCGTCCCTGCCCTGGCAGCTACTTCCACCCCAGTGCAGCCGCTGAGGCTAAAGCTGCAAATCCGTCTTGTGCGCACAGGCCTTATTCTGATCCCTCTGAAGCCGCTACATGCTTCAGGCGGTGGCTCCTAACAGCTTCAAACAACCCCATTAATCTGTGACAGCCTCCCTTGCCGAAGCGCGCGGGGCAGCGAAGGCGCAGGGAGCACAGCGGGAGCTGCGCAGCCAGACTTTTATGGCCACAAAGGCCAAGTCGCACCTGCTAACGGTTGTGAATAGACTTGCAGACAGCACCAGGTGTGCCATTTCAACAGATTTCACAACTGGGTGTGCCTTGCATCTATGTATAGAGCCCTGTCGAGGGGGTGAAGCGTGCTCAGCAATTGTCCTAATTTAGCAAAAATCCTATTTGTCCAGTGGGTCGCCCTGCTCGGTCGGCACGTGTATTTCAGGAGCAATTATATCGGTTGCCCTTGGCCTGGCCCCGGCCGTGGCTCTGCGGGGAGTCGGGGAACGCTGCTTTTATGGTTGGCGGGGCGGGATGGTAATGAGGGAGCGGGCGAAAAGGCAAGCGGCCGCCTGCTTCCAGCAGCGCACGGAGCATCCCCACCAGCCCGGCGGAGCGCGGGTGGCCAGGGGACCCCGCGCCCCATCTTGTGCCTGCCCCCACCTACCCCGCCGTGTAATTCAGCTCATTTCTTTAAAGCGTCAGCCTTCGAGAGGAGGCATTTTAATCACATCACTGTTCAGTGCTCAATACCAGGAGACCCAGGAGTAGCTCAGGGCTTGTAGATACTTTACAAATAGGGTAATAACAATAATAAACGAGGTCCACGTACTTGCAAGGTGTTGGTGACGTCTCTTCTGCCACCTCATAGTAAGCCTGACAGCGACGTTACATTCAAGATTTTATAATTTCAGGCTTCTTTAGAAACCTGAATCATAATTTCAAGTTCATTAGATTATCTCTGTATCCCGAAGCCATATCATAAAGATGAGAGAGATGCTAAGATTTGTTTTTTAAATGCGGACCACTCGATTGTGTTCAATAAAAGAAAGACACTGATCTCACGGGGATGGTTGGATGAGAGCAGATAAGATTTTTGCAAGCTGGAGTCAGTATTCATTACCAGCAAACGGGAACCCTGTTTTATTCTGAACTGTCTGCTCTCCATGGACATACGCGTGGTGGCACGTCCGAAGGATGCATCTAAAGCACAGTCGTGATTTCAAGCTTCCATTAGAAGCACTTTTTTCCTGCCCAGGCTTGGCCGATGTATATCAGATTTGCTCTAATTATGATCTTTGAAATGAGCCCTGACGAGAGAAGTAGCATCTGAATTGCTCTGGTTTTATTTTTATACATATGAATCATCTACTGTTTTGAAAAAAGTTGAAGCCCTTTCTCCTGCATTTTCAAACCTTCCTAATTACTTATAAAAATCCCCACCAAAATTAACAGGAAAAGGATGACGATATGTTTATATTTAATATTGCAAAGCCAAACACCAGATACAGCACCGCTTATGCACAGCTTTCACTATATTGCATCACTGCTATTTCTGTGGAAAACTCCCAAACTGTGGAAGGAAACTGAAGTAATCCCATGACCGTTTTGTTTCTGGTTGAGAATCACAAACTGCGGGGACGGCCGGGCAGAGCGCAGGCCTGGGTGTAGCATCCCTTGGGGTGCAGAGGCTTCAGAGCCACCGCAGTCCCCCGGGGTTTTGTAGGTGTCTGCCCAACAGACCCCTGGGGAGGGACGGCCTGGGAGGTGGGGACACTGCTGCCCGGCCTCTCGCCCGGCCTTCTGGATCATGGAGAAGTGCCAAGGGACTGCCCAGCTCATGCAACTGCCCTCTGACACGGTTATCCAGAAAAGAAATTATCAATTGCATAAAAAATGGTTAGTGTGAAGCCTGTAGCTCGCACTGGGGAGGTTGCCTCGGAGCACAGCAGAGGACTGGTGCAGGGGCTGTCCCTGTGCCCTGGTCAGGGCTGTGGCCTCCCTCCCCGCACGGCTCTCCGCACTGCTGCACCACGCATCCCCTCTTCCCACGCCGTGACTTCCCGCTCTCATCCCGTGCCTGGGAAAGCCCTGCTGCTGCTCTGGTGGAGGTGGCTCCTCTGCATCACCCTGCATGCCCCGGGGCTGGGCTGGGAAGCGGGCAGACCTCAGGCACGTACAACTTGCAAGCCCTCCACCCTGCTGAGTGATGGGGAACGGCCTTCTGAGCAGCAGCGGTAGTTTGGGCCAGATTTTGGCAAGTCTGGCACTGCCCTTGGCGCTCCCCCAGCACACGTGCTCTTGGGGAGGGACAGTACGTTAGAGGGACAGCCACAGCGCCTTGGAGTGGGCAAAATACGCCTGTGTTTTGAACTGTACAGCTCAAAGACATGCAGCCAAGGCACATGCAATCTCTGCACGCAGAGATTTTAGGACCTTCATCCTCCCCTCGCTGGGTCCGGCTGCGTGCTCTCTCCAGCACAGTTCACAATGTGCAGGTTGCGTGGTGGCACGACAGATCCCTGCTGCCTGACCTGCCTCCTCCAGGGTTGGTCCGAGGACTCCTAGCCCAATGCAGGTGCTGCGATTTGAGGGCACTTCTAGACAGACTGATCAGTGAAATGTGCATTTAGTCTGATGAATCACACTTTGAACGCTTGTCACCCACACAGGTGGGTCAAAGCCTTGGGCTCTCCCCGAGGTCGTTAATGCGATGTGAGTGCACCTTGTGAAGCACCGACTGCAGGTCCGGGATGCGGCAGGGGAGGGAATGTCTGACTGGGGAAAGCTCTCAGCATCGCACCAAGAACCATATGTAATTCTGGGGCAGACAGTATAAATGCTGCTTTAAAAAGTTTCAAACTCTGACCCCTCTCCACAACACCAATTTATTTTTCCAAATTACTGCATTATGCAGCAAAAAAGGCTTTTGCCATGTATACACGCACACCCATCACCTTGACACTAAATGGATCAACAAGCTACCGTGTAATAATTTTGATGGAATCAAATAGATGCCTTGGTAACTACAGCCTGGAATAAAAGACATTCTTTATTATACATATTGTAGTAGTTCGTAAAGGCCTCAGCAGCAATCAGGACACATTGTACTCGACACCGTAGACACAGAGCAGCAGAGACCCCAGTCTAAATCACCTTCCAATGTAAATACATCAGACAGAATTTATTTACTTTTCACGATAACTCAGCCCTTGACTCACCACAGACCAGGCACAGCTCAATGCAAATGCATCTGAACTTTCACAAAAGTTATTTATTTATACACCTATTTAGATATGCAGTGATTTTAAACCAGCCACTGGATACCATCAGGCATCTGTATGGCATTTATTCCAGTTGCTATATGAAAGTATGTGTATTCACAGTACTCATCTTCTAAACAGATTTAGTACTCAGTAATCCTAGAAGCACATATAATGGAGTCATGTTAATTAACATTAACTCAGTGAATAACATAAACCAGTGCATAATTAAATTGCCAGATTTGATTCTCTTTCATTCATGCTCCTAACAGCTTCACATGACAAACAGTCCACATCTAAACTACACTGATAGAACAAATAATATACGTTCTAATTAGACCACTTTATTAAATCAAATTGTGTTGCTCAGAACATCTGTGCAGGTTGCACGGGCTTCAATGTAAATTGCTCAAATGATGATAAAATCTCTCAGTAAAGCACTTCCGATCATTCTGTTTCAAGGAGCGTTATCTGAGGGGTAAGTCCCATTCTTCCCATTTGGGCGATAACGAAACTGAGACCACAGAACACCTCAGAGAAATAACTGGTATGAGTAAACTCAGAGTTAAATTAAAAACATTTGGCCTCTCGAGTCCCACTCTAGAGGACAAAGTTTGATCTAATTAATCAAGTATTACCCATAAAACAAACAAAGAAGCATGTGTTGCCGTAGAAGCCCCCATCATTCATCCCTCTATCACCATCGCTGCTGCTCAGCATTATAGTGGGAACAAACAGAAGCACATAATCTTACAGCTGGTCTATTGTCAAAATGACACATTAGCAGAAGGATTTACAGACATGTTTGCGTATGAAATAAAGGTTTGCATGTTCAGAAATGCAAACGTTTTCTCAGTACAGGAGCTACACACCACAGGGAAAGCTGCTCCCTGAAAGCTGTGCAGCTCAGGAATGTAGTTAGGGTATCTGCAACTATTCAGGTTTGCTGCCTCTCCCCTAAAAAAAATCAGAAACTACGGAGAATACACAGCTGCCAGGACGTACAGACCCCCAAGACCGGCTGGTAGAGCAGCTGCACTGAGGTCCTGAGCAACTCTTCAAAATAGTGGTAGAGCAGTGCCATAAGAAAGGAGAACTGGCATGTTTACTTTGCCTTTGCACAAAAATCAACATTTGCCTCTCAGAGGGAAATCCTGGCCCCAGTGAAGGCAGTAAATGTTTTGCTGATGATGGAAATTGGGTCAGAATTTTAATTTAGATTTTACTTCCAAATTTATTTCAGGAAAGATTTGCTCTGTGAAAAGTTGAGTTGATTGAGGCTGGCAGATTTGCAGTTTTCTGTATCCACCGAACCAGCAGGAAAGCTTTTCTTAAAATTATGATGTTTTGATTTTATTTTTTTGGTAGCTTGGGTGCTATGTTGTTCTGGAACCACATGAAGCTGAAGATGACACCCATCGTCTTCGGGAGAGTCTCATCATAAGCAAACTTCATGGCGTCTTGTAAAGGTACTTCTACAACTTCAATCAGCTCTCCTTCTTCAGGCTGGCCACCTCCTTCACCAGTTCTCATCTGGTCTGTTACTTCTGCATAAAATAACGTCTGCCTAGAACCTGTCACACCAACTCCAGACCTGGAAAAAAGCAGAGAGGAAACATTGTTTTAGATAAAAAGGAGGTAGCTAGGAACTAGCAATGGAAACTGGGGTCCTTCAATTGTGTCACTAAGGAACATAAAAATCCATGTCCTTATTCTCCACTAATGTCATTTAGAACCTACAAATGCAGTTTCGTTAATACAGAAATTGATTGCAACTCTCATGCAGAAATACCAACGCTTGTGAGTACAGCTGCCTATGAGATGGAGCTGTCTTCAAATATTCTGCAACTTTGGTAAAACATTAGTTTGGGAGAAAATAAAAGAAAAAAAAAGTTTTTGAACTGGTGAACTGTTGTTCTCCATATACTGAAGTCAACAGAAGTTTTTTCCACTGACCAAGTGAGAGCTGGACTGCACAGTGATTCAGAGGGGACTTGACTTACAAACAACAGAATGAAGGTCGTCGGTGTATCTGTCTGCTATCATGCTACATTTTTGCTTGGTTTTACACAAATATTTAGATTTTTTTACTCTTAAGAAGATTAGGTCCATTCACAGCTGGAGTCATCTACTCATGGACTGGATAGGTACAGGAACAGAAAGGCAGCCTGAAAGTCTTTGTCTGTCCTTCCTGAACTTTAGCCTTGACCCCAATGGACCACAGTAAACACGCACGTTATCTGAAGTAATTCAGTCTCCCTGCTAAATTTGCTACAGTGGATTTAGTTGAGGATATTTTAGATTATGTGGTCTTTCTTCAGCTAGACCGCTTGCTGTGTATTATACTTCTTATTTGCTAATCCTCTATTTCCTTAGGACTATTTCATTTAGGTATCATTAAATAGGGGATAAGTACATAATCCACTCATTTAGTCCTTCCAAGAAAATATTCACATTGTAATCGCAACTTCTTCATTTTGCATAATTACAAGCGACTTTTCGCATTGAATCTGGATCCAAAGTTCACTGAAACTATGAATCAGGCATTAGGGCAAGCTGAAAAATTAGCTTCTGTATTATTATACATCCACAGGATTCTAAGATTTGTAGCAGTGTTATGATCTTAGAGTGTATATCCATACTTACTCAATCATTAGTCAACTAAATCTTTCAGTTAATCCAGCATAAATCACACCCCATAGCAGGAATTAATCATTTGTCCCTCAATTTTCCAAGAACACTGGCAATTACTTTGGCTGGAGAATTAATAGTGATTATTGAAGCTGGTTTCTTACATCAATTTACACTCTTTTTTTAAACACAGAATAGGGAGCAAACCAGTTAATTCTTTTCCTAAAATTACTTCTGGTACATTCTATGACTCTGGGAGAGACATTTCACAACTCCAGGATCATTCCTGTATCTCCAAGAAGTGCTCAAGAAACGAAAGCACCTTTTGCCCTTCCAGGAACTTCAAAGGCTGCTATGGGATTTCTGTCATTCTGGGCTCATCACTTTATTTCAGTGTTAGTAGTGGGTTTTTTGAAACACATTTTAACCAATAAAATGTGACCAACTAGGATGCAGCAAGAGGCCAGACTAACAGTTTTCCCTCTCTCTTCCACTCTCACCAAAGTACATGACCTCCTTCCTCAGTTAATCTGATTCAGTATTCACTTTCCTTAAAGACCTATTTTCTGCAGCCCCTGTCCTTGGTCTTTGTACGCTGTTCTGATGACTATCAATCAGAGATGGTTTGCCAGTAGAAGAGCCATTTTTCATCAAGCTGCTATCAGCAACCAGCTCGCAAAAGTTGGAATGCTCCTTTTTATGCTCAAGTGCCCTTTCTGCCGTGAGGATGATGGCACACTTTACTAGATTCCCTTTGTGTTAAAATCCAATATATTTTTCTTGGTATTATCAAGCAATAGTAGATAATGTTTAAAGGCAACACTGGAAACATAATGCTGATTAAGAGCGAACGGATCCGTTTCACAATCCATCATGGCTGGGTATTTAAGCTCTAGTCATTCAGTGAACAGTCTCCTCAGCTTAGTCACCTCGATAACTGTCACTGACCTGTGTGCTACCCACACCTCACTGCCGCTGCTACGTCATAGAAGCATAGAAACGGAATCATTTAGGTTGGAAAAGACTGTTAAGATCATCAAGCCCAACCGTTAACCCAGCACTGCCAGGTCCACCACTAAACCATGTCCCTAACAGCCACATCCACACGTGAGTGTAGATGTCCATTGGAAGGAGCCTCATTGAGAGAATGTATTTGCAATGGAACAGTACATTGCTTGCTCATTTTGTGTTCCCTCTTTTCCTTCTTTTCTTGTGTAAGGAGGCAGAAAGGAGTTTTTTTTTTAAGCAACTAGAGATCTGGATCTGTTTTTCTCTCTATATAGTGATTGTTCTTCAATTGTTTCTGCAAGAATTTTATTTTTAGTAATTAAATAAACATAGGAAGCCTGGGGTTCAGAGATTGTTTTTTGGTAATTGATAATAAGAATAAAAAACACAAGTTAATTTATACAGTAAAATTTGCAAGATGAAGAATGTTGCTTGCTGGTCTCTACAGTCGCCATGAAAAAACACAGGGCTATGCATAATGTATTTAATATTCTGTTATTTCTGATGAGTATCAAATCTGAGCTTCGTCTGGGGTGCTGCACCTGGAGAATGAAAATGATCCTAAGTTGAGTATACCCACGTCCATTTGATGTAAAGGTTACGTAAAGGTTGTACACAAAAACATAGAGACTTTATTTAAGAAGCCCTTCTATGAGAACTTCCTGGCTTGATTATTTACAGCATAATCTGCTTCTATACCACCTGTGACCATTTACTTATGAAATCGCTGCAGCTGTGGAAATCACAGGAATTCACTTTTCATCCATCTTTTCTTTGAAGTAAAGGAAAACTGCTTCCTGAGGTGCTACACTGTAAGGTTCAGTTTCTTGCCACTATAGCTCAAATAGCATGGAGTGATTTCAATATGCTGTTATTTCGTTGTATTTACTCATATGATACTTCTATTAAATCAGTGTTTCTCTTTTTATGAACTAAATAGATCAAGAGTGGCTACAACGCTGAATATACTTCAACAGATGAAAGCACTGGACATTAATGTCTTGTCTTTGCTATGACGCCCAAAGCTATGGCATTTCTTCACATATACTGGCATATAACTTGCCACAGAAACCAATTAAAAAATTGCAACAATACATATTGAAGGGAGGACATACCCCCATGTTCATTCTTTTTTATTTGATTACCTAACTTATCTTTTTCTGGTGCAACTTTGCCATGAGTTATTAATTAAAAATTAATTAAAACTTCCAAATTATATATAAATAAAATCAAAAGTCCTGGTATTAATAGTCATGTTATTCTATTCTACTTTTTCCCCAAAAGAGCAAATTTAACATTTCTAAGACTACTTAGAATCCCCTCACTATTTAGATGGGTGACTTTGGAGACTATTGCATGACATTATTTACAAACGTATGGACTGTTTTTATTTATTTTCTAACTACATGTCCATTTCAATGGTTTCAGAAAGAGGTTGAAAGATACAGTAACATAGTTTAATTCATAAAAAAAGGTGTATTTCTTACCTTTTTCATTTGTTATTTCTTACTCTAAATGCTCTATCTTACTCTGCCAATTGACCATTTTTGCATGTATCCATGTGGAATGCCCTTTAATAAATGTATTATTGTCTGATATTGCTGACTGCTGTCCTTCACAACATTTCCAGACTCTTAGATATTAACGTATCCTGCCTGCCCTTAGACAATTGTCCCAAAATCAATGCTATTGACATTTCATTTGTCTTAGTACCTTTGATTTTTATACAAATCCAGCGTTAGCAGGTTTGTTGCTTTGAAGCTGTTCTGAGCCTCCATCTGGTTGAAGTAATAAAGTATTTTAGCACATATCCTTGGAAAATGTGCATGCATTTCAGTGATTTTGGGTACTGGGACCAGGGGAGGAAGAGAGGAGAGAGGCAGAAGGTGGCTCTGCCTGGTAAATAGGCAACAGATGGCTATTATGTTTTCAGTATGCTTTCAGGTTTATCTGTCACTAGGATGTTCCTATGCTTTTACACACTTATCTGTACTTTCTGAGCATGATGTTTAAGGAATTTTGATGTGCCTTTATTTGTTGTTATATTCCTTTTCCTGCTACCTTCTTCCTCTATCCCAAGTCTGTGACATATGCTTTTCCTCGCACTAGTGTTTCACATTACAAATAAAATGCTTTTGCTATGGTCTGAAATGAGTCACCTATTAACAGATTACAGCTATATTCATTAGCTTTGCATCTGTGGGAATCACAGGGGTCAGCACACCCGAACTGCAAGTGATGAGTTTCACCCTGGGAAAACCACCTTTCTGATAAAGGTGTTTCCCCTCCCCAGTACCAGAGAGGCTTGGTTTGGGGGAGGGCAAGCAGGCTCTGAACTAACAGCACCAGCCCAGGGCGAGACTTCGGGCTTCAGTCTCACTCCACAGGGTCAGCATCACATTGCCCAGACCAGGCATGTCATGGCTCATACTGACCCAGACCTACTAAGCCTGGCTTGACCCAGCTGATTGTTCCAGATGTATTTTCATGTGTCCGTACAGTGCTTGACTCTCATTTACCACTGTGGGACAAATGCAAATGATGTATACAAAACGTAGCTGTTTTCCTCATCTCTTCATGGTGAAGATCAGTTTCCTCTGAGAAGTTTACAGTTGTTTCAATTAAGAGCTATGTCGCTGACAAATACTCTTTGTCAAATCATTAGGGCTTAAGCTCACAAACCCTATAACTTCAACAGAGAGACTTTTAAAACCAAAAGACTATTGGCACTAAACTTTTAGCATTGCTTCAGGGACAATTAGAAACCACCATTACCTTTGACGACAGCAACCTTAAGAATGTAAGCATGTCAAAGCAAGAATACCAAAGTGGTATGGTTCTCATCACAATAGTAACTTAAACGTAAGTTTAACACATCAAAACATGATTGTACGCTGCATTCCCATATTTCATTTTAAATAACATACTCAAACACTGTGATTAAATCATGCTATG